GCGGGCAAGAGAGAGCAGCCCGCCGAGGCGAGGGGCTTTCTCGCGGGGGGGGCGGTGGCGGTATGAGGGGAGAAGCGAAGTTTGACCGAGAGCGTCCTGCCGCCCGTCAGGAGGGAGGCTGCCCGGGTTTCTCTCCCTCCCTCCCTCCCTCCGGCCTTCTGGCACGGGTGCCGTCCGCCGGAGCCGGTGGCTTTTCAGGAAGTAACGCTTCAGCAGCCCCGCTGATGGACGCGTAAGCAGTTAGCTCTAAAGCACCACGAGAAACCAATGCATACCTGGCAGCAGCAGCAGCAGAACCTCGACTGGCTGGTAACTGCACAACCCGCAGGAAAAACTTAGGCTGCTTTGCCCAGGAGATTAGACTGATTTCACTAGAAAGGGTACAGCTTTTCAGCGTTATGTTTACTGTAGTGCCACTGGAGGAGGTGGGTAAAGTACTCTAGTGTCAGGCTAGCCGCTGTACTCATAGAAAGTATTCCAAAAGAGGAAAAGGTTGAAACATGGTTGTAGAGAGGTAACTTTTTTTCCTGAAATGAACGTGGTTATGGTTTCCAGAAGAGTTCACGTTTGGCAACACTTTTTAGTAAGCCTGTAGGAGAAAAAGCCTCTGTTGAGTCACAAGTATTTGCTGTGGAGAAATAACGTCCAGTGTTTTCAAAATTAGACCATCACAGTAACAACAATGAAGCACCAGTACACCATGGTATCAAGTTCAACGTGGAGGTTTGCTTTGGGGTTTTTTTTTTTTGTCATCTTGTTTTCTCCCACTCTAAAGAAAAGGCCTGTAGTTGCCTCAGTATTGGTGCAGTTCTACCCCGAATTCTGAAGTGACTGTCCCTCTCAACTAAACAGAGCAGCACAGGAAAGATTTCTGCTCTGAAGACTGGATAGGAGATGAAGAGCCACTAAAAAATTGTTTGAAAAATTGTTTGAAACCAGGTGCTGTTGTAACCATTATGGGCCTCCACTTAAGACTCACAAAAGGTTTATGGGAGAAGCCCACATTTCTGTGAGCACTTTAGGTCCACTTACATCTTTTACTGGTATTTCCTACACAATGATCTCGTACAGTCACAGTGCAACATCCACCATGGGCTGCAAATTATTAACCTGATTACGTATAGTACCTCCTAACTGTGATTAAGTATTTTCCTTTTTACTCACTACTGTAATCTTATGGATGGTGGCAATATTTTATTTTAGAATAAGAAAGATAGTCATATTAAAAAAAGTAATAACATGTCTATCATTAAACAAATTGTGCTGTAGTAGAACAATGTGAATCTCATTCACTTCTAACCAAGATAATTAACTAAACAAAAAGGGGGAAAGCAAAATTATAAATTAATATTGCCCATTGGGTCTGCTTAAATCTTCCATTAGCTATTGTATGTGAAGGCACCTAATGTAGGTATCTGATGTAAATTTGCTTGTGACTTGATGCTATAATACAGCTCGAGATACCATTATTTGGCATCTGAAATTATGTTCAGAAAATCCTATCAGGCAAATAAAAACTAAGCAACAACAACAAAAAAGAATTCTTTTTTATTAAGACTAAGGAGAAGTTTCCATAACTTGGCTGTGTAGTAATGGTAGTACTGCTGAACATAAACTTTCGGTTCATATAACCCAAGTTAAAGGTTTTCTGTCAAAAGCTGCCCCCAACTGATATGTATATAACTGAAATTGTAGTCATGAAAGGGGAGAGCAGTAGTTCTCTGAGACAATAAAAAATGTAAAATATTATATTGACTCAAATGTCAGAGGTGTGGAAATATTGACCTATACTTCAAGTGATATACTGACTAAACAAATGCGCTTTACAAAAGAAAGATAAAATCCTTTACTGTTAAGTTAAAAGCCGATAGCAGTGTTGCCTTGATTTGAACTCCTGTTCAACAAAGGCATTTATCTAGTGAGGTATTGTGCTCTTGTCTATTTGATTGCTCAGTACACAGAAGAGATCTCTCAGAAGTTCCTGATAGATATATAGGAATCCCTTCTGGTAAGGGATATGCTTGTAGGTCGCTAAAAACATGGCCAGGTACTTAAGCCAAATCAAATGAAATCGGAGGCAAAATTCATGTTAATTTCGACAGTTTTTGCTCTTGCTTACTATGCATGATTTGACAGTTAGAAGAATGAAAGAAACTGCATTTTATTAGAACCGTTTTAATCATACTCAGTTGTAAATATTATTCTTCATCACAGGTAATTCAGGAAATTTATAGACCCTTTTTGTGATAACATTTCTCATGCTTTATATTATTTGTAAAACAAGAGTGGCATATTTATGCATATTTGGATTCCTAAGCAAGTAGAAATCAATGTTAATTAGCAAATTATGGGAATAAATCTCACTAGGCAGCTATCATTAAGTGCCTAAATATTTTAAAATCTGGCTCTGTATCATTAGATCTAGATTTATTCTTGTTAGCTATTTTGTGTTTTCTTTCAAAGGGGAAAAAAGTACCTTGAAGTCCTGGGGCATTCAAGGTTTACTGTAGCATCATTATTTGTTATTGACTAGAGCAAAATCCATATTAGTAGAATAATTGAAATGCTGTTTGATTTGAGATTAGGGTTTGAGCAAATACTTTGGTTGCATGTAGTAGCATATTTGAAATGAGGTTGCTTTTTATGCTAGCACTGACAAAATTGCTGTTGACAGTTATACAAAATGAATTTGTGAGATTCCAGGTGTGCTATTATATTTTGTTCTATATGGGAACTGAATTTATAGTACAGGAAGCTGTATTTGTAGTGGCAATTATTTTTTATTAATTTACTTTTGAGGTTGATAGGAGTTATATCAAGTATGCCTTGAATTCAATACAAGCGTTTGCTTGAGTATTGGCTTCATAAATCTTTTTGGTTTAGCCAACTTTATTGAAAAGAATTGATAAAATCATGCAAGTTCCTTTTAAAAACGAGACTAACATTTCAGCATTCTTCAGTTAGTAAGATAGCTTTGTAGACACTGATACTTATTTTTATGAAATGATAGGGAAGTTCCTTGGAGGCAGGTAGTATTATAAGTACGCATGTGTATTTGTGTATGTGCACAGAGGTTTTTAAATAATGAACCATTAACATTGCAACAAGAAAAAACAGTTTTCTTTTCAAACTTCACTTATGACAGAGCTAAGCACGTGTAGCAGCAGGCCATATGTTTTGCTTGTATGCCATCTTTATTTCTGGACATACAGTTGCATTGTAAATAGTACTTGCTGCTTTCCCACTTGAGCATTCATAGTTTGTGTTACTATATAATATCCCCCAGCATTTGGGTGACTCAATAAAACAGATGAAGTATATTTATTTTTAAAAAAGGTTCTGTCAGCAAATGTTGTACTACACAGTTGAGGCATGCTGTCTTTTCCGAGAAGCTGAAAAAAGAAGCTGTTCTATCAGCCAACTTTTGTAAAGAGAATGAAGCAGATAAAAGTGCAGTGAGAAAAATGTAGCTAATACACGTCAAAAGAAAAGAATTAAACAGGATGAGAAGAAAGGATTCTACTGCCTTTATGTGCTTAAAGAATACTGTTTTATATAAAACTATATTTACGTACAATATTAAAATGCTTCTTGAAAAAATAAGGAATGTCTCCTGGTGCGGAGAATTGCATGAGATGTATTCTAACAAAAGATTAGGACAGCATGTCCAGGTTGAAACCTGTTGGATTTTGGCTAGAAAAAAAGAAGCAACATCTGAATTATGGGGTTAATGGACAACTTTGACAGAAGAGAAAAAATACTTGAAGGATAATGAAAGGAAAACTGTTGCTGCTTGTGTGGATGGGACATTTACTGAAAGAGGAGAGGGAAAAACGATGCTTACATATTAACTTTTAAAAGGATGAATTCTCATTTGGGAAGAAAAGTATGCAGGTGTTTCTGTATTTTGAAAGATAACTTGTAAAGGGAAAACTATTGCAGACTGTAGCCGTTTCCCTTTTTACATTGTTTTCTGCTCATGTCTTCAATGAGAAATCTATATCTAGAGGATTGGTGACCTAGTGAAAAGACGTCTTCACCACAACCAAAGGTTTAGCTTAGCATCTTGAGCTGAAACATGTTTTTGCACTTCCTTCTCAAAATTGTTGCCACATTTTAGCCATGCTAATACTGGATTAACTCACTGGACTAACGTTGTGAAGAGGATGCATTAACTATAGATTAATTGACTTTCATTGTTGGTTAAGGTATGATAGCTTACAGTGTCTGTGCTGCAAGTCCTCCTGAAAGAACAGGGAGGAACTAACACTGATACTTCAGGTGTTTCCAAACAGAAAATATGGCAGAAGAATAATCTGTTTCTGCCTAATTTCAAACATTTAATGTATTTTTTTTAAGATTTTATGAGCTAATCAATTTATATCTTTGCAAATAATTCTTAAAGAAATGGAAAAACCCATGGCATTAAACGTTCTCT